TAGTACTGGCAGCAGCCTCAATAGGGAAGTTAGGCTGCAGCCCAGCCATAAGTGAATTTCAGGGTCTATAATTCCCTAGTGTCCATATTAGGTTTTTTTTTATATTAAATTTTATTTAGTTACTTTTCAAGTACATTTTTTATCTACCCCCCCCCCCCCCCCCCCCCCCCCCCCCTACTTTCCCCCCCCCCCCCCCTTTTTCCCCCCCACCCTTCCCCAGGTAGTAGCTCTCTTCTCTCTCTCATAGATTCCATTGTGTATATGTACCACAATTTTTTGATCCATTCGTTTACTGATGGGCACCTAGGTTGCTATGTGACAAATTACCACAAGTTTAACAGTTTAAAGCAACATATATTTAGTATCTCAGTGTTTCAGTAGATCAGGAGTCCGAGGACAGCTTAGTAGAATCCTCTACTCTGGGTCCCACATGGTTACAATCAAGGTATCAGCTGGATGGTGTTTCTTTTGGGATTTTAGGATCCTCTTCCAAGCTCATGTGGTCATTGACAGAATTCAGCTGTGTGACTGGTTTCTCTGGCCCTGCTAACTGTGGACCAGGGACTGCCCTCAGGCACTTGCCATGTGGCTCTCTCCATAGGTCTTCTTACATCACGGAAATTTGCCTTATCCAGGCCAGCAAGACAATCTGTTTACCTTTCAAGTGCTCACTGGATTAGGCTGGGCCAACACAGAATAATTTCCTTTTTGACTGACTCAAAGTCAGCTGGTTAGAGACCTTGCTCCTCCTTACTGGAGGAGTGATATCCCATCATATGCACAGGTCCTGCCCACACTCAAGGGGAAGGAATTATACAGTGATGTGGGTCACTGGGTGGGGGGGTCACCTTACAATTCCGTCTGCTGTAAGTGTTCATCTCTGGCTGTCATACATTTGAGGCTCAAGTTCAGCATTCTGTTAAATGGCTGGCTCTGCACACTGAGTTGTGTTGAGGGCCTTTGAATTTTACACAGCTCCTTCATACTTACAATTTCATTGAATCCTTACCATGGCTGCCTGAGATATATGCTTCTACCTCCAATTTACCTGTGAGGAAACTGGAGGACAGAGACCTTAAAAAGAACTCCAAGGTCACATAGCTAGAAAATAGAACTTGAGACCCAGGTCTTAGAAGACTCTAAATAGTATGCTCTTTTTCCCACATCATTTTTCTGTAGCAACCATTGAGATCTGAGCTCAGTTTGGAACTTGACCTAATTAGGGAGAAAGTTACTTTTCTCCTCATCTGTCTCCGAAAAACAACTTAGAACTTAAAAGACATAAATATAGAGCCAGAATTTCTGGGTTCAAATTCTGGCTCCCACATTGACCAGCAGTACAATCCTGTGCAAGTCACTTAATTTTCCAGTTACTGAATGTTCTACTCTAAAAAACGGGATAATAAAAGTATGGGTATAACCAAATTATTATATAGTTTAAATGAGTTAATATCAGAAAAGTGCTTGGCACAGTGAAGCACTACATTGGTCTTGGCTATTATTATTATTGATCTGATTATTATATTTCAATTAATGTAAGTCCATATTACTACTCTCCTTTGATTCAACTCATCGTGTTAGTTTTCTGGACTTTAGATTATCTGAAAATATTAATATTATTTAATTGTCAAAAATATAATTTAAAATGGAAAAGATACATTAAAAAATTTTTAAGTGTCTCTAACTCATAGGCAAGACCAAAGAATTTGTCAAATAAAACTATGTTTTATGAAATTTTTTGAATGAGGGGAACATATCAGATTCAGTTGACTACATAAAGTTGAGAATAGAAACTATTTTAATATCATACATACTTTTAAATGGGCTTTAGGTCTCCTATATTATGACCAAGAGAAAAAGAAATGTAAAGAGATAGGAACAGGAAGCTTAGGGAATGATATAGAAGATAAAAGGTGCCTGAAAGGCAGAAAGAATGAGAAGAAAGGGAATAAAACATCACAGAGAAAAAGGGAAAGAAACAGAGGCCAGAGCAGAGGAAAGACTACCGAGATGTAGAGAGGGCAGGTAAGGAAGGGGAGGGGGAGCTTTGCTAAAATTTATTGAGCACCTACTATCTAGCTGGCATAACTAGGGATTTAGGTTATCTCACTGAATCCTCAGAACAACTCAGTGAAGTAGCTATTATTGTCATCATTTTACAGATGAGACACAGTGACTAAAAGACTTTATCTTTTCCAAGTCCAAGTATATTAGTATACAGATATGAGAAACTGTATCTTTCCAGAGCCTATTGTAATGTGCTGCTTTCCTGTCCATAAGGACTAACCCTGAGATAATTCCTCCTTACAGCTTATTGGTCCAGCTTCAGTCAGTGTGCTTGTTACACTGAGAAAAGACTCCTTAGGTGGGCTTGGGTGGTACTGCCTCTTAACACTACATTAGAATGTTATTTACTTTAGTCAAGACCATTTAAATTCTCAATAAAGTACAGCACCATGTGGTTGATGCCTCAGGATATGCCATCTTTTTCTGAGCCTGTGCTTCCTCATCTTTAAAATGTATGCCTTGAACTAGATACATTTTCAGATTCTAAAAATCTATACTTAATGTCATGCTGCCAGATTTTAAATTATGTTTGAACTCTTAGATGTCTCCGAGCCATTCAAGTTCAAGGCATAAAGCAGTGGGGTAAGAAACAATCTCATCAGCAGTAGCAAAGATGTATCAAAATGAAGTGGAAACCCTCACCATAGCTGTCTTCACACAGACAGAAGGCTGTAATGTGGGTTGGGTGTACATATATTTGGTTTCTCAGGACAACTATTCAGGAGTTTTGCAGGTTGTTTATTGCCCAACTTCAGGAGGCGATATTCATGTACACATTCATAGGCCACGGTTCTGGCTCTAGGAAGCCAATACAAAGACCAATGGGTAGAGGTCACAATGAAGAAAACTGTGGCTCAGTAGAAAAATGACAATTTTTTGTGATGTTTAGAGTTCCCCCTTAACACTGCGAATAATTTAGGAGGTTTTTAGGCAGAGATCATGGAACATAGGGAATTCTACTATTAAACGAGAGATTAGTGAGTACATAAGTGACATAAGTGACATAAGTGACTTATTTTTGGATGTATTCAAAACTTGAAGAGTAATCTTCTTGTCTTTAAGCCTTAATTTCCTGAGTCTATATTATAATGGCTATAATAATGGTACATAATATACATAAATGTACATAATATATATATATAATAGTAGTTTATATTTTTATTTATTTACATCTATCTATCTATCTATCTATCTATCATCTTAGCATAATACCTCACATGATCAGAGCTAAAAAAATATAAACCATCATTACACTTATCTCTTTACAACTATTAAGTGATCCTTCCAGAACAGCAGAACTTTCTTTTATCTCCATGGGCATAATATCGCCACCCATGCTTGCAAGCAAAGAATGGTGGCACCCTCAGAAATGCCACTTTTCATGCTTAACTATAGGCTAAGCACATAACATACAGTACGGAATAATGATGGTGGCCCACCAATTTCTGAATTACCCTCTAATATCCCACATTAGCAGAATTACCCTCTAATATCCCACATTAGCAGACCCAGGGCCCACCATGGCTCACAGAATTACACAGCATCTATTTCAAACTGTTCACTCTGTAGCGGGGATATTTCTTCACTCAGAAATTAATGTTGTCAAATCAGCTTGAAAATCCCATTGTCAAAGAGCACATGTTACCTGAGGGAGAGTCACTCATTTATTTTCTTATTGAGAGGAGATACAGATGTACCTTAAAGAAATTGTGATTCTCACACACAAGCTGTAAAGATGCAGCTGTCGAAAGTGATCCCTGCATCAGAAGAATTGAGTGGAGTACGAAAGTGTCCTTGGCTGCTTTACAAGAAAACCTACAAACTAGCTTATTTATGCTAAGTGAAGAAACAGACTGAGAAAAGCCTATGGAGCTTACATTTCTGCTACTTCGGTCATTGTCTTCACTGTGGCTCCATGCTGGCTAAAGTCATTCTTACCTATAGGACTTTGCTTGTGCTAACCTCCCCCCTCATTAATTTACCCTTCTCCTTCCTCTTCTCATTCATTTGGAAAGAGTTTATCGATCGACTTCTATATATAACTGCCTGGTCTGGGAGGATTACAATTAGGTAGAGGCACTAAAATCACATGAGGGCATCTTTTTCTCCTCAAGGAAATCTTTTCTAATTGTTCCACATACAACAGTGTGTTTTAGCTAGTGTTTTGATCTCTGACAGAGTTTTATATATTGACTAATTGCCTCAACTGGGTAACTCTTACTCCTCAAATAATCTTCAGTTCTTTAAAAAGAGGGGCCCTGACTAAAGCAGCTACTACTCCCCCCTCAGCATTATCAGCTATATGCCATCCAACTGCTTCATCTCAACTTGTGGTCTTCATCCAAGTCAAGCAGGTTTCTCTCTGTTGGGACCATTTGCTCTTTCTCCCTCTGTCTTCTCATTCAGATTTTGGGGGTTAGTGAAGTCTTAATTATTTTTTAAGACACAGAAGAGAATCTTATAGAATAGTTTTCTAGACATGGTCCAAACTCTGACCTAAAGCCCTTACAAATAACTGCTGAATCTATAAATATTGAATAGACACAGTGTCTATAACATCATGTTATTTGTTAATATTACTTAAAATATATTATTTTCCTATACATTTTATTATTTGCTCATTAGCTCATAGGATTCTTCTCTCCAACCAGACTGAAGTTCCCATGGAACAAAAGCTATACCTGCATCCCCTCCTCACAGTGCCTGGACTGATGAATGTGATAGCCATCAACTATCGTGAATTATATACCACTTGAAATTCAATAGACAATGAGAGACCTGAAAAGTCACTACAGGACGTTTTTTTTTTTTTTGACAGCCTTCTCTGTGAAGTATAGAACTTTTGTAGAATTATTATTTTCCAAAGGTCCAAACATATCTCACTGATATGGCAGATCTACTTTCCAGATGATTCCAATGTGTCAGTTCTTTACCTGAGCCTGCCATCCTCTGCTGCAGCACCTCCTGGTATGATCTTCGTAATAAATATGCCAGGGTCATCTCCAATGTGGGGATTATCTGTCCCTCCAGCAATACTGAATCCCAAGCCAGAATTCCCCTGTAGAAACAATAAGTAGACGTTAAATGATGTGGCTGTCACCCCAACCCAGTTCTCCTTCCATCTTATCATCTCATGGCTTAAGTGGAAGTCCCGTGACAACAGTCCTGTGTACAAAGCTATAAAGCATACTGCACTGTCAGCAGACAAAGAAAGGTCATGGAAAACGCGATAGTTCATTCCTGCACTGCAAGCATTCCAGGGGCCTTACATTTTTTCTTATTCCAGAGGCTTTATATTTTTACTTTTAAGAAATGTTTCCACTTCCGCCAAGATGGAGGCGTAGGTGGAAGCATTGCGCCTTCTCACACAACCAAGTTTAAAAACAACAAAGTTTTAGCAACAAAAACGCAGCCAAACCACAGAAGATTGAACTATACAGAAGTCTGACAACAACCAACCCTTCAGCCAAACCAGTAAGAGGGGCAGAGCCAGCAGCAGAGCTGGGTCGGGCAGAAAAGATCCACTGGACCGACCCGGGTGCGCAACCCAGGCACACAGGCAACTGTGGGTGGAACCCAGGTGTGGAGTAGCAGCGAGTGGACCCACTGAGGGTGAAAGGCGGTAGACTCACTGAGGGCTGACCACAGTCACACATTCGAGCGCAGATAAACCGGTGAAGGAGCGAGCGGTGAGACAGACCGTGCAGGCCCCAGTGGCGGAAAGTGGCAGAGGGGACCGCCATCTTCCTTCTCTGACCCCGCCCCCACATACAGCATCACAAACTAGCGACCTGGGTGGCATCTCTCTGACCCGCCTCCACGCATAGCGTCACAAACCAGCGACCTGGGTGGCCCCGCCCTGGTGAACACCTCCTCGTACAAAACAGGCACAAACAGACCCAAACATGGCTCAAGAACAACTCAGAGCCCCAGAGCCAATAAATCTAAGTGATGAAGAAATAGCCAAACTTTCAGATGCACAGTTCAAAACACTGGTGATCAGGATGCTCACAGAACTGGTTGATTTTAGTCACAAATTAGAGGAACATATGAAGGCTAAACTAATTAAAATAAATGGAAATGCACAGGAAACCAATAGTAATGGAAAGGAAACTGGGACTCAAATCAAAGGAGTGGACCAGAAAGAGGAAAAAAATGACTGAACAGAAAAGGATAAAGAAACAAGAATTCAAAAAAATGAGGAGAGGCTTAGGAACCTTCAGGACATCTTTAAATGCTCCAACATCCGAATTATAGGGGTACCAGAAGGGGAAGAGGGACAGCCACAAGTGGAAAACTTATTTGAACAAATAATTAAGGAGAATTTCCCCAATCTGGCAAAGGAAATAGACTTCCAGGAAATCCAGGAAGCTCAGAGAGTCCCAAAGAAGTTGGACCCAAAAAGGAATGCACCAAGGCACATCATCATTACATTAGCCAAGATTAAAATGAAGGAGAGAATTCTAGAAGGAGCAAGAGATAAGGGGACAGTCACTTACAAAGGAGTTCCCATCAGACTGTCAGCGAATTTCTCAAAAGAGACCTTACAAGCAAGAAGGGGTTGGAAAGAGGTATTCCAAGTCATGAAATCCAAAGACCTACATCCAAGATTGCTCTATCCAGCAAAACTTTCATTTAGAATGGAAGGGAAGATAAAGTGCTTCTCAGATAAGATCAAATTCAAGGAGTTCATCATCACCAAGCCCTTATTATATGAAATGTTAAAGGAACTTACCTAAGAAAAAGAAGATAAAAAATATGAACAGTGAAAGGACAGCAAACTCACAGTTATTAAAAATCACACCTAAAACGAAAACAAACTAAGAGGACAGCTAGATCAGGAGCAGAACCATAGAAATGAAGATCACATGGAGGGTTACCAACAGGAAAGTGGGAGAAGTAGAAGAAGGGAGAACATACAGAAAATAAGTAGCATAGACAGTAGGTAGAAAATAGATAGGGGGGAGGGCAAGAATAGCAGGGAAATATAGAATCTAAAGAACTTGAGACACGTGGTCATAAATTAAAGGGGGTGAATGGTGGGGGAGGGGTGTGCAGGATGGAAGGGAATGAAAGGGGGAATAGAACTGTAATGTCATAATCAATAAAATATATTTAAAAAAGAAGTGTTTCTTTTATATGGCAATAAAAATTATCATTTTACAATAGAAAATAAGAGCTTACAAATTATGTAATATAAAAATACAAAAAATGATCACTGTCAATTGTAAAAATTAAACACAAATATGAAAAAAGGATGGAAGGAAATGAGTTACATAGAAACATTTGATTTGGTAGAATAGTGAACTTTGGATATTTTCAATATTCTTGTTCCAGTAATATTTATTCATCAAATAACTGTGTTCCTATGTAACAAGGAACTTTGATTTCAGAAGTAATGGCTGCTTCTAAAGTCATAACATATGTGAAATACTTTTCAGTTATAAACAGGTTTTAATTTACGGTACATGTAGAAAAGTAATGCATTAATGCTGCAGCAGGTAAATTTGAATAGCTTTTTTCTAATAAAGTGGATTACTCCTGCTTTATTACTTCTTCAGATTATAGTAATTAACACCAAATATACAATATAACCTTTTGAAATTTGTATGTAAGACAATTAAAATCTCCCTAAAATTCACAAATCATCTTACTTATTAACATATTTCTTATTTACATGTTCTCTTTATATCTATCTCCATGGCTACTTTATACTTCCACATTATAATTTTCTTTTCTAATTTACATTATACTTTAAATTATCTCTATACAGCTAAGTAGTCTTTATAATTATCTATTTTATTTTACTTATTTTTAATAATTTCTCATTTTAAATGACTAGATAATTATTTCATCAAGGTCATATATCATCATTTATTTAAATAGTCCTTGGCCACTGGATATTTTTTTGTGTGTGCATATGTATATATATATAACATATATACATATATATATATGCACACACTCTTATGAAAAATATAGCTTACTAAATTTATGATCACTTGATTAAGTTCTATTCTTGGGTAAAAAAAGATGAGGACTAAGAACTGGTAGTTAATCCACAAAATTAATTAGGGCAGACAGTAAAAAAAGTTCAATGTTAAGATAGGTCAGCTATAAACTGTCATACTACTGTAAAGTCAAGATACTGTTTACCAATTTTATGGGTTAAATGAATAAAACCCTAAACTCCAGAGGGTTGTTTTCACAATTGCATATTTTTGTTGAAAGGCTTAAATTAATAATTCAACCACAGTAAGTAAAATCGCATGTCTTTATACTTCTAACATTTGTCAAATTTTGATTGATCTTTGAAAAATTCCAATGTTCACTGAACAAAGATATTACTTAGTAGCAGTCATGTAATCATGAATTTTACATTTATGAAACACCAGCTGTATGCTTGGCATTAGACTAAGCCCTGGTACTACAGCACTGAATACGTCAGTTTCTGGGGCACATGAACGGGGTACAGAAAACAGGAGTGGCTAACAAGAGAAGAAACATAGGGACTTTTCCTGAAGGTGAATAGCAGTTAGTTACTTTTAAGGGGGTCACTAGGAGAGCTGGGGAGGAGGACAGAATGTTCCAGGCAGATGGAAGAACACATGTAAAACTCTGAGGTGAGAAAGGGGATGTCAGGTTGGTCTAAGAAACAGACAATAAGGCTGGAACAAAGAAAGGAAGGAGAATTGGATTCCATGAGTCTTTATCATGAGATTCTCCAGAGCAGAATGCATATAAATCCAGCTTTGGTTTTAAGTACCTATTGGTACTAGATGACTGTATCAGTATTGGATAAGCATCTCCAGTGTGACTATCTTGAAGCTAAAGCTACAGAGATTGAAACAGGATGACTTTCACTTTCATGGAGTTCAAGGCAGAGCAGAGAAGGCAGTGATAGTGTGGCATCTGGTGATCAATTACACTGTCATGCTTATGCCCACCAAGATAGCATTTAGGTGATTTATAAGGCAGTATCTAAAGTCTGGGAATTCTGGAAGGAAAGGATGAGAATATGAGCATCTTCAGTATGTTTGGGTCTAGCTTCAAGAACACTGACTATAGTGTATTGGCCTTACTAGACCTCACAACCTCAGGGATAATAATTTCTTGATTAATTAGGGTAAGGAATAAGGAAGACAGAGATTGGGAGATTCTCAAAGGCTTACCTCTAACAGCATCAATATTTTTGTAGAGAGCACTCAAAATTTGGCCATTTGATGAAGCTATTCATGACATAGCTCTTATTTTCTTTATTCCTAGTTTTAGACTTTTATTCCCAGGAACACTGAACTGAACTGCTGACTTTTTTCTGCATAGTCCATAGTATAACCTCTCTTTTAGCCTTTGTTCAATGCCATTTTCTCTACCAGAATCTTCCCATCTTCCCCTTGACTGGCCTTTTCCTTTTCATTTTCTAAGATAGGGGTCAGATGGCATCTGTTCCAGAAAACATTAATCAAGCATCCCAAACACCTTTCCTCTGGGTAAGTTGTTCCTTTTTTTAGGTTTTTATAGATTTCTATGCTTATCTATGTCATGCACTGAGTTATTTAAAGTTATATGTTTATGAGTCTATCTTTTCAAACTGAGCTTGCAGAAGGCAGGAACTATGTGTGTGTATATATATAAATATATATATACATATATGTATGTATGTATATTTGGTGACTTATTTTGGCATATAGTATTGTTAAATATATATTTGATAAATAAAATAACAAACTTACTGAGAATATTCAAACTCTAACAGTAAAACTCAGAACACAATAAAAGGTCCATAATGTGTTAAGGGATGTCATATAGAAATAAAAGCAATTTTGTTCTCTGTGGCTACAACAATAAAAATGGAGAGCCCAGAAATTCAAATTGTGGCTTAGGTAAAAGATGATGAGTGGAACTGTTCGAACTGTGGACAGGCTGTTTTGGAAGGGAGGGAGGGCTCTTCTCGTAATTGGCAGCTATCTAATCAGTAGACATAAGGTACCCAATTATCTCTCAAAAGGTTAAACTGGATAACTTTAAATAATTTTTCTGGTTCTCTGGCTAGATTTG